AATTGAAAATGAAAAAATCCTTCTAAGGCCTAGATCTAAGCATCTTACTAAAATGAACGGCCTATGTTAATTGGGCTAAAAAAATACATTCAAGATTGCATTTTCAATTTTTTCTTTTTTGTGATTGTTCATTAGAATGAAAAGAGTGTATATTTCAAAATTTGGATCAAACAAATGGCTATAAGATGGTTTTTAAGGTTGTTGCATCATATTACTATACAACGGTTGCATGAAATCACTGCTCTTATTAAAATAATAAATCCTTGAAAATAGTGAGAGTCTGGCAAAACCAAGGTGTCCTAGGCCCGGACCTCTAACGTATCAGTTCGGAGTCGGCCACATGACTTTTAAGACACTTAGTAAGTAAATAAATACCTACTCCGCCTTTGCCGCTCGCATGCCCAAATGAAAAAGAGAAGAGTTGTGTTAAGTTGGGAGTCAAAATAAACTTTTGTCATATCTCTATCATGAATTATGATCCAATTTTATATGACGGAACATGATTCATATAACCAAGCCAAATAATTGAGATAAATGATAATGATGATGATTCAAAAACTAAATACTACAATAACATCTTCCTAAAAAGATAAATTCCATTATAAGATGTTCGGTTGAAGTACTTTCCCTTTTAGTTGAACCCAAGCGTGGGAACTCAAGCTCAATTAATATTAGTAACCTCATGTAGGGCTGGGAATTTATACGGACCCAACTCGAGACCCGACTATTCATCGGGTTCGGGTCAAGATATTCTAGACCCAGTCGGGTTTGGGTTTGGGTTTGGGTTTGGGTCCGGGTCCGGGTCCGGGTCCGGGTCCACATTCCCACCCCCTACCTCACGTAGGGGTATCATACGAATAATAGCATAAGCAACCTTTAATAAGCTGGCGTGCTTTCTCATCTTCTTCATGTCCTTTTCCTCGAGTCAATGAACCATGCAGTAACGTGATGGATCACGAAACATTTATTTAATAAATACTTGTAGTCCCAATAAACTCATTTGGTGTTGCAAAAGGTAGAATCAATCGTTTCCCTTTAACAGTGTGTACTATATATGGTTATGGGGTGTTTGATAGAGCACATCCCCATAAACTCATTTGGTGTTGCAAAAAGTAGAATCAATCGTTTCTCTTTAACAGCAACAGTGTGTACTATATATGGTTATGGGGCGTTTGATAGAGCACACCCCATAAAAAAATAAAATTCGTGCTTAACTTTCCAAAAAAAATAAACTAACATGTATTGTATGACGTACGGTCCGCTGTGCACATCTACAACACAGTCTTGACCATATATGGTGCATATTGACCATGCTCATCTAGATTCAGTTTCTTTCAACTGTTTGTGTCGAGATTTGTTTTACTGCTATCATTTAGGTAATATACATGTGAGCACTTCCTTTTCTCACTGATTTTATATGTCTATAATTTATTGGGAAAATATAATTTAAGGGGTCAAAACTTCTTACAAAATTATTGAGGGGCAAAATATCCCAATCCGTATCAGTAGGTTTATCTTTTAACTTTTATTTTATTCAAGTACCTCTTTAAAAAATATATCTGAAAATAAATCAATGGATCAATGCATGAGTCTCGTGGTGAACATTTTCTCAAAGGAAGAGTACACTATTTTCTTAAGACCTACATTTGAATAAATCAAGATCGACAGCAATAGTGATCATGGATTATTAATAGTCCCAAGAGTCATAGTCCTACTGCCCTTTTCGAGAATCGTTTCTCCTAGTCTTGGTTAAATGAACTCCAAAATAAACCTAGCCCTATTACATTTTGTCAAATAGTTTTAAAATTAGGCAACAGATGGCCCACAAACCACTTTTGAGTGTTCTAAAAGTAATAATAATAAATAAATAAAACTAAGTGTCAGCAATGCCATCTTTGACAACATAGAAAATTTACATTCAGAACCAAAATTTATTGGTTCGGTCCTTCAAAAGACAAGTAGTCAGATTTCATCACATAAATCATAATAATTTTGTAGGTCAAATGCGATTAGATTGATACTAAATTGAGTTAAATCTCTGGGGAGAACAAGGCAAAAAAAATTGAAGACTATGGAAGATGTTAGGGGCTTACTTTTTTAATGCTATTTCAATGCAATTCATTGAGAAAATGATTGCGTGGTCCCCATGGATCACATGTTTGTTGTAGGGCAAGCACCTAATCAGGGGGATTTGATGGACACTAGAACTCCCTAATTGTGTTCATGACACAATCATCGATTGAGAATAATGGACTTGGATATCAAAAAGTGCCCCATATCAAAATTTGCTCGAAGACTGATTCTAGACCATCCATTAAAATACAGGGAAAAGGATCCCGAAATCTTTTTTCTCTTTTTTGTGGTTTGATCTTGAGATGCTTCAAATGTATTTTCGAAAATTGTTTCAGTCCCCCCTAACTAGGTGTTTTGGCAGCAGGATTTTGCCCCACTTAACCAACATAAACACCCAAAACTTAGAGCTTAATTTTTAATGGACAATATATATGTCAGATTTGCACCATTGAGGAGCTCCAAATCTACTATGAAGGGGTGAAATTGGATTTTGTACCTTTTAGGAGCTTCAAATCTGGTTTTTTTTTTTTAGGGCTAATAGGTTTTGTAGGTGCTTTGGAGAGGCATGAGTTCTTAATCCCTCAAAAATGTGTTATATGTATTATTTTTAGGACTTGGGACTTTCTTCTTTTTCATACCTATATATCTTGTACCTATATACCTATATATCTTGTACCTATATATCTCGAGGTTGAGACGATCAATTAGAGGATTTTTCAGCATCAAAATCATATTTCACATTGGGTTTTTAAGATGCCTTTTACTTTTATAGTATAAGGTTGATGCCCTATATAAAATTTTTCCTTAGAAGTAATTGTACTTCTTTTTTTATATTTTCTTTTAAAAATTAATAGCCTGCATATCTAGACATAAAAATTCTATCTCTCGGACAAATCTTTGAAAGGGGTGGGAGCTATATTGTACACTTACACCCTCAGGTGGAACACTTACTTGGGAAGATTTATTTGATCCAAAATTTTGGAAACCCCTTAAAATTCACATAATGATTATGTTTAGAATAAAAAAATGAATTTTGAGTTTTTTAACACTTAAATAGCGCACTTCAAAAAATGGATTTTCTATTCAATCTTAAATAATTATTTTATTCAAGCTCATAGAGAATGTGATTTGGAAATTTTTTGATATTGAGTGCATCATACGGGTTGAGAACATCCCCAAAGTTTGGGCTCCAAATCATACTCTAAAGTTCTGTTTTTCCCGAGGGAGTAAATCGACAGTCTCCCTTGAGAGTGCGAGATCTTTTGGCTCTTTGAAATATGGGAACCGGAAAAAAAAAACACATTAACAATTTAAGAGATGAGCATTAAATCAGTATATTACACTCTAAAATTAAAATAAAATACAACAAAGAGCAAAAAAACCTAGACCTTACAGACATATAGCATGGTTATTGGGACTAGATTGGACCAATTGGTCTAACCAATTAGATAGCTGATTTGCTCCTTAGCCAATTTGGTCCAACGTAAAAAAATGGGTTTAATCTAAAACTAACCAAAACTAACCAAAACTAATGTTTAATCAATCCTGGCTTGTCCGATCAACTGAGAGGGCTCATTATATTGAATAAATAAAGTTGGGCAAATTTTCATAATCATTATCATCGAGTCTTTTCTCAATTATTAAAGGTCGGCTGCATGAATCCTATTTTATTATTCTACCATGTCAAAGGTCATATCATAACCCTCAATCAGACCATATGTCACCATATCTTTTATCACTACTTCTATTCATGTTTTTTTTAACATTCTCATTGTTTTTTTAGAACCTTTCACTTAAACCAATTCGTCTCTCCTAACCATTATTGTATTTGGTCTGCATTACATATGGCTAGCCTACTTAAGTTCCCTCTTATGTATTCATTTTGAATTCGGTCCTTTATTGTCTTGCCACTCATGCATATTAACATATTGATCTTAATCACACTCAACCTATAGATATGTTGTTTCGTAACTGTCCAACATTTCGTCTATAAAGTATGGCCAGTATTGCAGTCGTCTCGTAAAACTTTCCTTTTAATTTTATTGGTATATGCAACATTCACATAAAACTTCGGATGCACATCTCCACTTTGTCCACCTAGCTCACCCAGCTCTAATTCTATGTACAATATCATCTTCAATCTCTCCATTATCTTAGATTATTATTGTAAGATATTGAAAATAATATCTTTCAAGTAATTTTTTTTTTATCAATCTTAACTAACTCGTTTTACGGTTATTATTGAAATTACATTCCATATATTCTTAATCCCGCTTATTTTAAAATCTTTATCCTTCCGATGTTCTAACTTTATGTTGACATGGACTCTAGTCTCATCAATCAAAACCATATTATCTGTGAATAACATGCAACGTCGTACCTCATCATGTTTTATAATATATTCAATATTTTTAAACTATCACTCACCTTCTGAACCAACTATTTCAATCGAATAGCTAAACCAATTTTTATTAGACCAATCGACTCACTGGTTAGGTGGTTGTTCCGATCTTGATACCACTAATTTGGAGAGCCATACATATGAGTTGATTCTTGACATCAAAAAACTCGGACACGCTCAATCGAGTCTTCCTTTTGGGCCGTTGATTATGACTCGGAAAATCCTCCATCTAGTCGATTCCACATTATGTCCATCTCGTTATGCCTTTTGGAGAAATGACAGTTACACCTGATTCTTTTCCCAAATGACATATTCCACTCTCCTTTTTATGAAATGACACCAATTGCCTTTATTGTCACCCATGTAAAAAGTTCCTCGATATAAAATGCCAATTGGAGCAGTTTAACAGTAACAACAGGCCTTAAAGTGGTTTTAGTGGGGCCCACCCCTCTATCACTATTTATTTTCCTTTTTTTTAATTATTAATTTTCATTGCTGTGTATTTTTCTCTGCTATGATGAAAAAAACCTTATCTTAGGTTTTAATGGAGCAGTTGCTTGAGAAATGGCGTTTTTATCAATAAAACAAGCTTTTAAAAAAAGCAAGGGTGCCCACTTTCCTAGCTTAAAGCTGCTACATCTGAGCTCCATTTCTTGCCCTACCTATGAACTTTCATGAAAATCTCTGTGACTCAAGGTCTATTTTGCATGTGATTTTGATTTCTAGGAGTTTTTACCAATCTGGGTTTATTGGGTTTGAGCCATCAAATCTTTTTATTCTTCTTTGAAGAGATGGAGTGAAGGCATCTGGGTCTGTGGAATTGGACAAGGGAATTGCAGGGTTTTTAATGGATGGTTTTGAGTTGCAGATGCATTGCAACAGAGAAGAGTTACGTTTGAACAGTGGTGTGGACAAATAAGTTCAAAAATTTGCAGAGATACAGAGGAGGCAGGCCTAGAAGAAGGCTTATTTACAGAAAGGTATGAAAATTCAGTTTCAATTTTTATGTCAATTTCGCTGTCTCATTTCTAGAAAAGGAAAGGAAACTGTGACTGCTTTAATGGAGTTTGGTTTGGGAGGGGGGATGGTTTTTACTCTCTTTAATGACTAGAGTACCCAAGATCTTAGGAAATAAAATTACCAAAATGCCCACATTTTTGCAATGTGGAGGGTGCTTTTTCTACTTTATTTGAAAAGTGGGGTGGAGAATAGTTCTCCTAGACATGAAGGATATTTTTGATAATTTTTAATTTTTAATATTTTTTATTTTTAAAAAGTGTGGAGGGCCATTTGGTAATTTTTGCGGTGAAAAATGAAATTGAAGGCTATCTTTTATGAAAGAACCGATACATCCAATTTTTTTATTTTTTTATTTTGTTTTGGAGGGCAACTAATTTTATCTATATTTATATTATTTTATCTAAAATTAATTTATTTTAGAGTGATATTATTTTGTTAATTGATTCAAACTTTGTATTATGTATGATATTGTTTAACTATTTAATTTTTGAAAAATTGTTTCATGAGTCAACGGCGTAAGAACCCACTGACTTACAAATGTCCTTCCTAAAGATGGACTTTATCTAAATTGTATTGTCAATAAATAAGATATGGACGATGCATAAAAAATATTAAAAAATGATATTTTTAATTTTAAAAGTTTATTTTTTATTTCATATTTATGATCATCTCGGCCAAGATGATGAAAAGAAAATTAGAAAAAAAATCATCTAAAATAAATTTTAGTGGGGGCTGCATATGTACATATGAGTCGGCAACTCATAGAAACCCGTCCTTAAATTTTTGGTGATTTCCAACAATTTTTCACTGTTTCTTTTTAAAAACATGTGATTTTGGCAAATTACTAACTTTTGAAATATGTAAACATCTATGTAAAATTGCTTGTAATTCATATGAAATAAGTTATGATGAACTGCCAAACTACATCAGAATTAAGTTCATCTAAACTGTGAATTATTACTGTGATAACGAGGACACCCAAACAAACGCTTAAAATACATCCAAAACTTGTTAATTATGTAGCTAGAGGATGAATACATATTTTACTGTAACAAAAATGACTTTTATAAGTGTCTACCACCATCCAAGCAATTGATGGACTGTAATGGAGAGAGTGGTGGAGCCACCATTCATTTGAAGGTCATGTGGATCGTTATATTGGACCATCTATACAAAACTGTAGTGAAACATGCCTTGGTACTGTAAGCAGTCGTTTAGAAATTACTGAGCCGCATTAGAATCGCCCAAGTGAGTTTGGATATGGTAGCCTACTAGAGGGATCTATCCTTTGGGCAAGACTTTCGAGCTTAGGATTCTTACTGTAATTTTCCTGAAAGAAATTAGTGGAGGCGGGCCTCAGACTCACTATCTGACTCGGCCATTTCTCTTGTTCACTTGGGCTCAAAATTCTTGAGAGTCGAATCCCCAATCTGCATTTTCAAACACTGGTTGTGGACTATGAAACGTATTTGGTATGTCACTTATGCTCCAATTTGAGCAATATTTTAAAAGTAAGGAGTATGCTTAGAAGTTAGAATCTCCTAATCTGATTAGTAAGCGAGCCATGGTAGTAAGCGAGCCAAGAATGTAGGCCCATGTAAACCCTTTGTCTACGGCACTAGGAACCCCAGATCTCAAGATCTCATTCGATATCGTTTACATAGTTGAGTAAATATATAATAAATGAATACAATCATAAATCAAATGCAAGAAAAAAAAAATTAAAAGCACATTACATTAGTGATAAGATTTTACATGGTTCATCCCGTAGGGTTATGTCTACAGTCTCAACAAGTCGCAATTTATTATTTTAGTAAAGATTATAGTTTTGGGTTACAAGAGATATACTTTTATCTAAACATTGGTAAAAACTTCATTGATTTTTTCTTCTAGATCCGCTCTCCCTACCGAGCAACATCATTCATCAACCTCATATTTCCCAGCGCTTGACACTATTGGAGGGAGAACCTTGTGAGCAACAGGACACTTTCACTCGAGTAGTTGAAACTATCAACCCAAAACTTCATGGGAAGTAGGCTATATCTCTCTCTTTTAGATTCCTTGTCATAAACCCAAAGGTAGCCCAAAGGTGGTGCGTAATATCATATCCTTGACATCCTTATATGGAGACCACTAGGGTCTTTTCGTCCAGCCCGTTAACTCTCTTTTTTTTTTTTGTATGAAAAAAATACAAAAAAAAACTCCAAGACTATTCTTTCTATGCAACTTATTCCAACTTATCTTTTTCTATCATTGTTTTCCCCAAAGTATACTTTCTATACAAATACCCCCCAACCTAAAAATAATAATAATAAAAGACCTAAACTACCCTCTCCCTCCTTTATTTTTACTTTACTCACGCCTCTCTCTCATCTATCCCACCACAATAGGGCTATGGCGCTATGTAAGTATGGTCCGGCAGTAGAATGCTCTGGAGTCACAAGGCTCCGGCACTGTGAAAGTGCGGTCCTACAGTAGAACACTCTGGAGTCACAGGGCTTTGGCACTATATAATTGCGGCCTGGCAGAAAAACTTCTGGAGTCATAAGGCTCCGCCAATTGTAAAGGGCGATCTGGCATTAGATATTTCTGGAGTTACATGGCTCCGACACTATGTAAGTGCAGTCCGACATTAGATATTTCTGGAGTTACAGGGCTCTAACACTATGTAAGTGCAGTCCAATAGTAAAAATTCTGGAGTTACAGCAATCCGGCAGTTGCAAAGGGTGGTCCGGCAGTAGATGTTACTGGATTGTAGGGTCTCTAACACTATGTAAAGGTGGTCCAGCAGTACTCAGTTTCGGTCCTGTAGTTGTCTTTGGGCATCAGCACTTAAGTTTCTGGAATAATAGGTCTCGGAATTCAATGGTGTGCTCGGACAATGTGCTATTAGGTCCAAAAGTCAATCTGGCCAAAATGAATTTTGTGTATGGGAAACATTTCGGCCTAAAAAAATGAACTTTTTTCCCTTGGGGGGTTATTTGCATAGAAAGTTTGTTTTTGGAAAAAAAAGTAAGAGAAAAAAGTTAGGTTAGGGGTAAGTTGAATAGAAAGTATGATCTCGGGGTTTTTGTTTTTTTTTTTTTTTTTTTTTTGTAACTTTTGTCGTTTTTTTTTGTTTTTTGCTAAAATTTTTTATAATTTTTTCAGTAGAAAATTTCATAAATTTTCTACAATTTTTTTTATAATTAGGTATTCTAAAACATAAATTCATGGAGTGAAGGGAAATTGCACATGAATAAAATATACATTAAAAAATAACCCAAAGACTAATGCCACCTGCTCTTCACATCTCTTGCTAAGCAAACTTGCATTTGCCTTCCTATAATAAATGGGTTTGTATTTTTAAAGGTGGGTTAGTCAATGAGAAGGTTTTTCAGGGTTATGTAAGGTTGCAATTTTATATAGGAACTTTTGTACAAGTGATTACAATTAATCTTGGTCATCAGATGTGAAATTGGGTGGTAGCATTTATTTCATTAATCACGTTCAAAGTTTTTTTTTTTTTTCGAACTTTATGACACACCCAAGCTATCAGATTGTACATCGGATGGTTGTAAATAATTGTGACATCTATATATTAAAGATAAATGGTCTCATTGTATATAATTCTATTTTATATTATAGTCGTAAGATTAAGCTAAAAAATATACTAGAAAAAAGTGTTATAAAGTTAGAAAATTTTTAATTAATTATCTCAGCCTCAAGATGTATAGATATTTTTTTAGAAAAAAGTTGAATCTTAAAGATATTGCATCTTAAAATTTTCAAGTATTTATAGATCTGCCGATTTGAGATCTTTTATGAACAGTATAAGGAAACAAAAGGTACGATTCTAGAGCTACTTCTTCCGAAATATAGGGACACGCCTTGTTTATACAGTATAAGTAGGCACCTTATTGAAACCTCCCCTTTGGGAAATTAATATTAATGGCATTATGGCAAATATGAAATAGTAGAGGTCTTCTTCATGGAATTATAAAAAGCATGTGGATGCATTTGTCATTTGAAGAAAGAGTGAGGCTGGCACGTTATCACTTTCTCTTTCCTCATTTGTGTGCTTACGCGGTGGTTGCTTCTATCTCTAGATTTATGAGGAATCACTTTCTCTCTCCTCTATTTGGGTTACACATATCTGGTTGTTGCTTCTCTCTCTAAGATTATGATTCGGGTTAACGGGGCCTCATTTAATGTGAACGCGCGGGTGAACAGAGACGAGAGACCACAAACGTCTTCGAGTTCAATTAGGCATTTGCCGGCAGGATATCGGAAAACTCAAAATCAACAACCCATCATCTTGTTTCCATCGAAATCTCTGTCTCCAGTTTCTCTCTCTAAGGTGTGCTACTTTTTTTTCCAAATCTCATGCACCACCTGAACATTTTGTCCTTTTTCTCTCCTACCTTCTCTCCTACCTTCTTTATCAACACGCCAACACGTAAAACTTGAATGAATGCGCCTCTCTCTCTCTCTCTTTGCTTTCCATTGCCTAAGTAATTGGAGCTCTCTCTATTGCTTTCCATTGCTTAAGTAATTGGAGCTCTCTCTCTCTCTCTCTCTCTCTCTCTCACATTGCTTAAGTAACTGGATCTCTCTCTCTCCATTAGTTTCCATAACTTTAATGTCTTATCTCCCCTTCTCTAACCAGTGAATAGAGGCCTCTCTTCTCTAAACCAGTGAATAAAGGCCCCTCTCTCTCTGTGGCTAACAGAATCAGGTCGTAAGGGAGGAATGCAAGTGAAGCAAAACAAAGAAGCCCCATGAAAATGAGACACCTTTATCTGAGGAAAAATAGCTTTAAGCGCCTCTTCTCTGTTTCTATAGGCCGTAAAAGCACAGAGGAAGAAAACCCAACTGAAAATGGCTACTCCCCTGAAGCTGAGCAACCCAAATCCTTGGCCATTTCTTCCGTCACAGAGACTCCTAGTAAACCCACATGGAGATGCTTCTCTTATGAAGAAATTTCTGAAGCCAGCAATTTTTTTCATCCTGGTTAGTTCATGAATCCACATTTCATTAGGTTTGAATCTTTTGGGATTTAAGCTCTGTGGGTTATTTGGTTGAAGCCTTACTTTGCTTTTATTGGTGAAAATGTAGTCTATCTCTCTCTCTCTCTCTCTGATTGTTGATTCAAGCTCAATGTGGGTTTTGGATTATCAGATAACTTGGTGGGGAAGGGGGGGTATGCAGAGGTCTACAAAGGAGTTCTAAAAGATGGGCAAGTGATTGCTGTGAAAAGATTGACCAAAGCTTCGAGTGATGAACAAAAAGAGAAAGAGTTCTTAACAGAGCTTGGAACAATCGGCCACGTTCGCCACCCCAACGTTTCCTCTCTTATCGGTTGCTGCATCGACAATGGTCTCCATTTGATCTTTGAGTTCTCAGCTCATGGTTGTGTCTCTACTCTTCTCCATGGTAATTCAATTAAAACCCAAATTTTTCTTTTCATTTAAATGTCCTAATTAATAAATATTTTTGGGATCTTTTCTCTTTTTTTGAATATCAAATTCTTGGAATTTAATGTTTTTCCTTTGTATGGAAATGTCCTCATTACCAGATTTTTTATTTTTATTTTCCTTTCTCTGGTCAAGTACTTTAGACTCTGGACTGTCCAGTTGATAAAGAGTTAAAATGTGTGTGTTTTGGATCTTAGATGAAAATTTACCTGTGATGGAATGGAGGATAAGGTATAAGGTGGCTATAGGAACAGCGAGAGGCCTCCACTACTTGCACAAAGGTTGTCAGAGAAGAATAATACACAGAGATATCAAGGCTTCGAATGTTCTTCTCACAGCCGATTTTGAGCCACAAGTAATTGTTCATGTTCTTTTTGCTTTCCTTTTCCATAAATGAAGGCCCTGATTAAATCCAGATTAAGTCCAGTTTACTCATATTTCCTGTAAATGTTTTTGTGTATATTAGATTTCAGACTTCGGATTAGCGAAATGGCTCCCCTCTCAGTGGACCCATCATTCTGTTACTCCCATAGAAGGCACTTTTGGGTGAGATTTCAGTCTCAATTCCTCTGTTTTTCTGCAATTTTCTAAAGCTAAAAATGTTATGAGGTATATGACCAAGGCCCTCATGAACAATGTGCAGGTACTTAGCACCCGAGTATTTCATGCAAGGGATTGTGGATGAAAAGACCGATGTCTTTGCATACGGTGTGTTTCTATTGGAAGTCATCTCTGGTCGAAAACCTGTCAATGGGTCTCAGCTTAATTTACTTAACTGGGTAAATTTCTGTAACTTTTTCTCGTTTGCTGGACATTTTGGGGTACTCCAATTCTTGAGCTTTGAGTTTTACTGGTACAACCCTGTTTTGAAATTGGATAGATTCTATACTTTGCCCTTCTCTGTGAGAGGCTATTTCCCATTTTTTGGGTTTTTCTGAACTTTTAAATATTTTTTTACAGGCCAAGCCTTATTTGGAAGCTGGGGATATTCATAGTTTGGCAGATCCAAGGCTTCAAGGTCAATATGATGTTCAGCAATTGGAAATTGTGGTTCTAACTGCATCCTTGTGCATTAGGCCTTCTGCCATCTGGAGGCCATCCATGAGTGAGGTAATGATCTCCTTTTCTTCCTCTCCTTTGGTCATGCTATAGATATGAAATTGGGGTTTCCCATTATATTATTGAAATTAAAAAAATGCAAACTTTTGGCTAATTAAAGTACTAAACATTTTCATATTCACTAAACAGGTATTACTTTGTTTTATTTCAAGTCTGACTATAGTTTTTTCTAATGCTCTTATTTTATGTAGCATGAGTGTTATACATTTGATTTTAGAACATAACTGGTCTAGTCTGATATTTTATAAGGCTGATGAGGAAACAAGAAAATTCAACAAAAGAAAAAGGGTTTCTGGCTCTTGGGTTGGTGATTAAGTTGGCCCATATAACTCGAATCACAGCTACACTTCCAAACAAAAGAATAAAGAATGATTAAAAAGGATTCTCATGACTTTCCATGTTTTTGATTGAGAGGTGGCATTTTCTTCTTAAAGGTGACCCTAGATATATGGTTCACAAAGTTTTGCCCATTGTTATACTCATTATTGATGTTCAAATCATATTGTTCCTTTGATGACTAACTCTCTTCTTTTTTTTTCTGAGGGAACTCTCCAAATTTTATTGTCTCAAAATCAATATGACTGTCCATTTTGAGACAACTCCTTGATTTTATCTTGGTCATTTTGGTTCTGTATGATTTCTATGTCTCATAGAATTTGGGGCATCATTATATTCAGAGCACAATAGTTCAATAGATCCACAGTGAATTTTGGGAAAATGAAGAACCTTTTGTTAATCGATATAGTATATATGAATTCAAAATGAATACAAGGCATGGTAGTTGACTTGTATGTGCTGTAGTTGAACCACCATCAGCAAGAAAAAGAGAAATAAAAAAGAGGAAATGATGCAACAGTTTCTGTTATTTAAATATAATCTCCATTGCACCTAACCAAAAATGTAGAATCTACAAACTATTTGATTATATATAAATTTATATAACTTACCTGTATATATATATATATATATATATATTAGTATTTGTATATGCAAGTTTTGTGTGTATCTTTGTATTAATGGGGGAGTGTGTTTGCATGCATATATATGTTCACCTGCTTTTGTGTGTGTGTGGGAGAGAGAGAGAGAGAGAGAGAGAGTTTGGATGGCTTCTAAGGACTTAATCGATCGTTTAAATCATTTCTCATTACAGGTATTGCAATTGTTGTTGGAAGGTGAGATTCATGAAAGTTGGAAGATGCCTGAGCCAGAGCAAGAGGATGACTTTTGGGGATTTGACGATCTCGAATGTGACAGTCCCTTCTTGACTCCACCTCGCACTCCAACAAGTAGCTGAGAGAAAATTTACCTTATATCAATTTCTCACCTGTGTATAAAATAGTCCTGTCTCTTTCATTCCCCCTTGTTCTCCCATTGTTTTTTGTCATTTACAATGGGACTGTTTGGATCTCCCCTACATTGGTCCAACTTAAAGCCTCAAACCTAATATTTTCTAAAATTTCAGTCCCAAAACACTATTATACCATGTATCTGTACATAGAATGAATGTGATTCCATCACCTTAATCAACCCGCGCTTCTTTTCTTTTTGCACTAAGACTACTTTTTTTAATCTGTTGAGATGGACAAGTATTGATTTATTTGAGTAGGTAGATATAGGAATATGTATGAGAGAGATGAGTTGTATGGAGTTGCTTATCTAGTTTTTTGGTTCTATCTATTTGTTCATTTATTTCTTCTTTTTGGAGTTGGTGGTTAGAAGTGGTTGTGTTGAGTCCAAGTGTGCATATATATGGACGGATAAGTTTAAGAACTCTAGTGTACAAGGTATAACTCCTGGACAAGAAGAATTAAAGATGTTTAGGAGTGGTTGCATTAACTTTTTTTGTGTGGAAACGTATACAATGAGAAGGTATACAATTAGACCATTTATCTTTTTGCAAGGTGGTCACAATTAATCTTCACCAAACTCAAAGTTCAAAATAAATTTTTTGAACTTTTCGACACACCCAAGCTATTAGATGTCACATTAGATGGCTATAAGTAATTGTGAAACTTTCTTGTACCAAAAGTAAATACAACCCCCTTTCTTACACTAATAGGAAATAACCAGAGCTGCGCATCACCTGCCCTATGAGAGAGAGAGAGAGAGAGAGAGAGAGAGAGTATTTCTATTGCACAGAGAACTTGGTCAATGGGTTGTTTTTTATTTTGCTAGTTGAGAGAGATTTGCTATTGCAATGGGGACTTGCTTAGTGGCTGGTTTCTTATTTTGCTTTTTGAGAGAGAGAGAGAGAGGTGCTATCGCAAGAGAAGGGACTTAGGCAAAGGGATTGTTTTTTCCTTTTTATTTTGCTGTTCTCATTTTTTAGGGGGTTGGTTTTGGTTAATGCGATGAATAGGGACTTTTAACAAAGGGTGCGGTTTTTATCAGGTTGTAACCTTAAACAATCCAATTAAAGCGCACCCTAAAATTTTGTCATAACATGTAATTTTGTTGTAAAATTTTTTTAGTATTATCTTAAAACCTATTTTCATATCTAATTAGAAAATTTTAAATTTAAAAAATAATTAAAATTAAGTATATCTATAAATATATAAAATCTTGAAAATAGATGGTTTAGATAATGTGTTGCAAGATACATTATTTTCAAAACTCAAAAACTTTTTTTTTATGTTCATACATTTTGATGTCGAGATGATCGATTAGAGTATTTTTTTAACATTAAAACAACATTTTCAATAGATTTTTGAGGTGCTCTGTGATTCTACATCGTAAGGTTGCAACCTCATATAAACTTTTCCCTTTAACAAATGGGAATTATTATCTCTATCAAAAAACAAAAGGGATTTATTAATCTTATCCTTGGCAGTAAAATGTTATATCCTTCTCCAAAGCTACTTTGATGTAGAGTGCTGTCGCCTTCTTATTATGGATGAGGGTTACTTTTTGTCATGTAATATACATAATGACACTTCTTAGCATAAAAAAAGTGCTAATATTTTATTGTGGAAATATTTGTTATTATACACAAATTGCATGTGTATATGTTTAAAATTGGATGAAGCAAATGAGTTAAAACATAAACAGTTCAAATAAGGGGGTAGGTAAGGTGTTAATTCACAAATCTTAGTATTTTAGGGTTTACTCTAGTGGAGCATCTCCTTCTCTATTCAATTCTCATGCATGTCTTATAATTAAGGGAAAATATTTTTCCTGCGCATGGGCTGACCACTACAAAAGCAAATTAAGGGAAGGTTTATCAAAACTTAGTGAGAGATTAACTATTTAATATTTCACCAATTGAATAATCGTCAGCATTTTTCAACTATTTCATTTAACCAATTGAATAATCTTCAATATTTTTCAACAATTTATGACCTTCCATGATGTGTTCTTTGAAGGGTTTGGTGAAATCGGACCAAAAGAACTGTTGTGGTATTAAATAATTCAACTCTTGGGTGTAATTTGATGAAAAAAAAATTAATTTAATGGAAAATATTTGGCTTGGCTACGGGCTGACCACTGCAGTGGTTTGCGTGCCACTGATTTGAAGGTCTTAGGGGCATTTGTTTTGGGTGGCACATTTTTTTCTTCTAACTTTTACAATATCATTAAATTAGTCAAAAGATTATAAATTACATTCGTCGGTATGCTTTTAAATTTTTACATCAATTAGGCATACCTTTAACAAAAAAAAAAAAGTTAAAAAAATCATAAATTACCCTAATGTTGGAAAGTAAAAAAAGTTAGAGATACTTTGATAATTTTACTCTCAAAGAGGTACTTCTATCATTCGGTTAAAGCCTCTTAAGGGGTAAATTTAACAAAGTAACCTTAATTGTCCTTGCATTCCAACACCGAACATGGGGAATTTGGAAATTTTTCAACATTTTGCTTGAAGATATATCTAATTAATATAAAAATTTAAAAGCATATCCTTAAGTGTAATTTGTAACCTTTTGACTTTTTACTAATATTGTAAGGGTTTCAACTCCTCTTTTAATATTTTCTCTAATTGTAAATGTACATTCCCTTATTATACATTTTCTTTATTACAAAATGAAAATTAGCACCCAAAAAATATATTTTTTTAGAGTCTCTTTCACTGGAGGAGAAAAATGTGTATGCCAAATTTGAGGTAAAATAATGTTTGTTAGGCCCCTAAAATGGAGAGGGCGGATTCTATTTTCTAGCCCACCAAATGTTTTCCCATTATAATTAATAAGAGGAACCATCATACACCTTGGTGCTCAATGATAAGGTGCCACAATGCATAAGGCTATGCATTTTGTTTAGCTATAAAATAATGTTTGTTAGGCCCCTAAAATGGAGAGGGCGGATTCTATTTTCTAGCCCACCAAATGTTTTCCCATTATAATTAATAAGAGGAACCATCATACACCTTGGTGCTCAATGATAAGGTGCCACAATGCATAAGGCTATGCATTTTGTTTAGCTATGTGAATCACAATGCATAAGGCTATGCATTTTGTTTAGCTATGTGAATCACAATGCATAAGGCTATTCATTTTGTTTAGCTATGTGAATAATTCAACTGGTTAAACCCACCTCGTGTCTAATCACTTCTTATTAAAAAGGAAATACTCTGCACCTAGGATACTATAGCAACATGTAAGGAAGGAGCATTTAGCCTCCAACCAATATTGAATGGTGGAGATTGGATTATTTATTTTAAGTTCTATGCATATTTTGATGGTACCTTAATCTGTTTAATTGCCACCATCCAGTGATGATTTGACAATAGATCCATAGAGGAGCATGTTGAAGCATGTTCCCTTGGTAGAGAACACTTCAAAATTCAAGATCCAGATTGGGAATCACCGACAAAGATAGAGAATCAGTAGGGACTGATCCGCTTCCAAGTCGAAACCATGAATTGGTCTGGTTCTGACGGACTTGCTAGGTCAAGGAACCGAGCAATCCATATCTTTTGCCAAGTTCATTTTATTTTTTATTTTTTAAAATTTGAAACTATTATTCAACTTTTTTTGGGATCACACCAGAGAATCGGTACTACAACCAATCAAGATCACCGGCTTACCAATCCGTACCGAATTTATGGAAGCCCAGTTTACCCAACCAATCTAGTTTTGAAATCAGTGGTAGGGAGTATATCATATGCTCTTTGGATACAAAAATGTTATTTGTGTACTGGAGTTTGTTTTACACATCAATCTCACGTATAAGACTGTTGATGCTGTGCAGGCTTTTTATTTTTTCTTTAGATCCTCGCAATATTGTTAGTGAAGTACAATATCGCTATACAACTATGAGGTTCCATGTTGATTTGTGCAAATTGAGTCTATGTACAAGACTTTACAATTTAGACCAAATATTCGAAGTTTAATAATAAAACAATATACAATGAGACTATTTATCTTTGGTATAAGAAGCTCACAATTAATGTAGACCTTGATATGAAATTGGGTGGTTACATTTATTCCATTGACCAACTCAAAGTTCAAAAGAAATTTCTCGAACTTTATAACGCACGCAAACTATTAGATTTCACATCGGATGATTATAAGTAATTGTGACCTCTTTGTATCAAAGGTAAATAGTTTTATTGTATACAATCTTTTGATAAAAGCTTCATTGTAACTTTAGGAAAAAGTTATATAAAGTTGCAACTTTATACTATAGAAGTACGTTGCACATTAAAAATCCAGTAGCAAAGAGTGTTTAGAAGTTGGTAAACTTTCCAATTGATCATCTGGATTTTGAGATGCATGGATATAAAGAAAAAAAAAAACGAATTTCAAGTTTTAAAAAATGGTACATCTTGTAATAAGTTATCTTGACCATCATCATCATCATCAAAATCTTTTCCCAGCTAATTGGGGTGAGTTACATAAATCTTGAACCGTCATTCTGCTCTATTAAGGACCATACCCTCAATGAGGCTGTAAGTCCCCATATCTTTTTCACTACTTCCAACCATGTCCTTTTAGGCCTACCCTTTGTCATTTTTTAGCTTTCCACTTGAACTAACACACACCTCCTAACAAGTGTTGTACTGGGTTTGCACCAAATATGGTCAGTCTACCTAAGTCTACTTTATCTCATCTATCGCTTATTGGTGCATCTAAAATCTCTTGAATGTATTCATTTTGAATCTTATCTCTTATTGCTTTGCCACTCATCTCTCTCAACATTATTATCTTAGCTATACTCATTCTATGGAGTATATTATTCATGACCGCCCAACATTCCGCCCATCTATTTCAATTGTTTAAATTATTTACAGATCAACTTGATCTACATTGTTTTTTAAATTTTAAATTTCATATCTAGCATTGAACATGGATTCTCAAGCTATTATAAGGTTTATGACAACCGACATACATCATCCAACAAAATTTCGAGCTGCGTCTTACTTGTATGGCATAAGATGGACACCTTATAAGCAACATCACCTTAAACTTTAAAGTAAGCAATAATAATGGTCGATGCTCATATGAACTAATCAAAGAAAGGAAGTGGATCAAATTCTGCTTTTTCCAACCAAATAATGCGTGTTGCTTCAAATGAGTGGTCCATTAAAAGACTTGTGCTCTTAGGTTCATA